CTAACTATGGTGCACCTCGGTACACAATAATGAAAAACGTGTTTTCTGGGATATCAAATTTCCTCTGAGGTAGAGAAAAACATATGCAGATGAGAATTTTCTTTGTAACATTTTTAGGATGTGAGTGTCCAGTGGGGTAAATAATGTGCTGTGATGAGGCGCTGTGACTACTAGAGGAAGTAGATGGGGACTATCGGCTGTCATTTTGAGACCAACTGTAGTCAAGAATGCTCTTTTCTAAATTTTCCTATATTTTTTTACAGATAGTTTATTGTCAAGTTGGTTTCCATATAACACCCAGTGGTCATCGCCACAAGTGCCCTCCTTTATACCCATCTCCCCCCTCCTCCCCCACACCCATCAGTCCTCAGTTTGTTCTCAGCATTCAAGAGTCATGGTTTGCCTCTCTCCTTCTCTCCCACTATTTCCCCCCTTCTTCTCCCCCATGGTCCTCCGTTAATTTCTTCCTAATCCTCCTATACGTGCAAACATATGGCATTTGTCCTTCTCTGCCTGACTTATTTCGCTCAGCATAACACCCTCAAGGTCCATCCATGTTGCTACACATGGCCAGATTTCATTCCTTCTCACTGCCATGTACTATTCCATCGTATAAATTTTCCTTTTTCTAAATTTCCTTCAGAAAGAGGGTCCCATGGGATTCATAGAGGGCTACTTCTGAACATATGTGGAGAAGCAGACCTGGGTGTTTCCAGGGCTTGGTGTTGGTGGCCATAAAAACCCATCACTCAGATCTCCTGAACAGAGTGTGGTTGACTGATAGCCTGAGCTGTTGTCCTCTGAGTACAATTTCTCAAAGAGATGGGCTACTTTCTCCACCAACTTGGTTGGCATTTTCTCAGAACTGGGCTATTATCAGAGATTGTTTTTACTCAATCCTTCCCTCTCCTTTTTCTTCACAGAGGTCAGATTTGCCTCATGATTTGAAGGTTCTTCCTATCTTCTCTAGACTTCTTCTGTTTATCCTTCACAGGCCTCTACTCCTTTCCCTAGGTAAATGTCTTACATGTAATCAATATTACAATAATCACTCGTCTTGGCATCTGCTTCTCAGAGGATTTGAATTAACATAGAGTTTGGAGAAAATATAAATAATTTGGGGTTAGATGTAGTAATCATGAGATATTTATTGGACATTCAAGTGTAGATATTGAACAGGCAGTTATGTACACAAATCTGAAGATGCAGAAATTGAGAGGGAAGGGCTAGTCTGGAGATAGAAGTTTGGAAGTTGAATATCAGTGATATTTAAGCCATGAAACAGGATGAGTTTATGAATGAGGCAATGTAAATAGAAAGGAGAAGAGATCTGAGGAAACCCTGATTGAACAGTTCAGCCAGAAAAGATGAATGAGCAGTGGGGTATGGGGAAATCAAGAGAGTGCAATGGGCTGGAAGTCAAGTGAAAAAGGTATGTCTAGCAAGTCGATAACCTTATAAAATGCTGCTGATGGATCAAGCAACATGAATTCTGAGAATTAATGACTAAATTTATCAGTCAGTGATTGGAGTAATTGCTGACCTTGAGGAGAACAGTTTTAGGATATATAGGGATGGGAGGCTGATTTGAGTGGATTTTCAAGAAAGAATAGGGAAAACATAGTGAATATAGAAATGGAGTGAGTATAGAAAATGCTGTCAAGGAATTTTGCCATAAAGGAGACCAGGGGATGGGGTGTGTCCCAGAGGGTGACATAGATTCTAGGAGCTTTAAAAATTCATTTGTTTGCTTTTGTTTTTATTTTTAAGATGGGAAAAATTAGTCATGTGTTTATGTTGATAGCAGTGATCCCCTAGCAAGAGGAAAAGTGATGGTGTAATAGGGAGAGGGGAAAGACTTTCTGAAGAAATGCCCTAGAGTTGGAGAGGAGGGGTAGGATGGACAGTTCAATTCACATAATAGGAGGAAGGGCAGAGTGAATAGGCACAGGTGGAGGTAGGTGGATAAATGTGGGTGTCGGCCCTTGTGGAAAATTTGATTCTATTTTCTCAGTGAAAGTGGAATGGAAAGGAGGTGTTAGAGGTCTATATTTATCTAGAGAGAGTGAATACATTCAGGAATTGCCGTATGATTGCCTAGCAGCATTAAGAACCCATTTGAGGTTGTAGGCAAGAATGTAAAATGAGAGCAGTCTGCATACGTTGTTTTTTTTCTGTACTCGTGATCAGCTCTGCGGAGGCAGACACAAGCAGGCACTGGACTGGATTTAATTAGGCTTTGGGTCTTACTGACTGAATACCAGGAAGGAAGGGTGGGGGCAATGGAGTTGACGGGGTAGGCAAGGGAGTGATTCTAATATAAGGCAAGTGAGGACATGAAGATGGTGAGTATTTAGCTTTCCTGTTAACCCTAAAGATATACCACGAAGTAGTTGCCAACAGAGTTTATGAGTAAAACTCTCCTTACGTGACTTTTTTTAAGTTTATTTATTTATTTTGAGAGAAAGAAAGAGAAAGAGTGTATGCCAGCAGGGTAGAGGCAGAGAGAGGGAGAGAGAGAATCCCAAGTAAGCTCCATGCTGCCAGCGCAGAGCCCTATGCGGGGCTCAATCTCAGGAACAATGAGACCATGACCTGAGCCAAAATCAAGAGTCAGATGCTTAACTGACTGAGTCACCCAGGTACCTTTACATTTTTATTTCATGTATCAGCATGGAGTGGAATGAGGCTTGGAGCGATGGTGCTTTACAAAGGAAAATCACCAAGGGAAGCACTAAAACATGTCATTTGCCAAAGGGTATCTTGGACCAGAATTGAAGGATTGCTAAGACAGCGGTATTAATGGCTAATATTTCAAAAGAGCAGGCTTTTCATTTTAACAAAATGTTTCAGTGGAAATGTTTGTCAAAGCATTTATCTTACCCAATAATAATATTTTGCTCAGATAACTTGGGCCAGCATATATATTTTCTGCAAGAGCTTAGTCAAAAGATTTTAAAAGAGTAAGAATTCCACATTGAAACACAGTACTGAGATTTCTACCTCAGTTAACTTCTTTGTGTATCTAATTCATTATACTTAATACTAATTTGTATTAAAGTGATAAATGCAAGTCTATATAGGAAAAAATGGTAAAACATGAACATCACACCACTTCTACTAGAGATACCATAGTGATTTCTTAAAATTACTCTTTTAGGTACTCAAGTATTACCTCTATGCACGCAAATGTTTTTAATTAGTGTTCTCTAAAAAGCTTAAAGAAAGCCAATAATTCCATTATTGACATTTCCAAGCAAATTAAATGTGTTGCTTTATAGAAATAACTCTTACATTTCTGAAAAATATCAAATGTTTTTTAAATGATGGGATATAAAATTAACAGTTACTTCATGTTACTTAAATTAAATTTGGTTTGCCTATAAGTACATTGCTGAATAAATACACTGATATTTTATATAACAGCAAAAGTGACTAAGCAGTGGTATTTAAAATTTCTTTTGAAATGTCCACATCTTGACAAAATATATCCTGCTAACATACCACATTTGTGAAGAACACGTTTAGAGTCTTTGGCGGTAGAGAAAAAAATCTATATAGAATACATGTAGTTTTTTAATTTTTCTTTTTTGTTTATAGGTATTAATTATTCTAAAGATAATATTTTTCTTGTCTCATAATGACACTAAGGTGTGACCATAACCTTTCCTTATAATCAGCATTCCACGTTGAGAATAAGCTGAGATTTTTCTTAAGGAATAGTAAACCTCTCCATACACAAGAAATTGACTTGCCTGCCTACAAAATGAATCCCTATCCATAGGCTGTGTGGGAATAATAAAATCTATAATATGACTTTCAGGAGTGTCATTTTCAGGGTTCAGCAGATTAGGATTCATTCCTGGCTCTGTCACCTATGTATGGGGTATGTGAATTTAGCCAAGTTGTTTCACCTTCCTATGCCTCAGTTTTGTCATCTGTGTTCCCCTCACACCGTTGAAGAGAATATTCAATACAAGAGAATAGGATTTGGTCTGATTTAAGAATTTCTAGTATCCAGCCCATAGATGAGTCCTAAATAAGTATTTGTTGAATAAATAAATGTAATACTTAAAACAGTATAATAGTGATTGCTTAATAGGGATATTTTGAGAATAATGACATAATACATGATGGGCATAGAACACAGTCCTAGATCAGAGCAACTGTTCTTAATGGGGAGAGTTTTGGAGAAGCCACAGGAAATTGGCTTCTGTGTCTTGTTTCCCCTTTAGACTATGGGTGGGATTTATACTAGAATTAGTGACCCTATGCTATGCTCCAGCACCTGTGAGTTGTGTGAGAGGGAAAATATTTACTTTATTACTATTCATATCTCCTAAATCTTTCATGATATTTGGGAGAAGTGAAAACAGGCCAAGCACATTAAAATATTTTAACATACAACCTAAAGCTCATGTCACCATTGAAAATGTTTTCAGAGCTTAAACATGCATAACAAAAAACCAGAGGTAATATATATGATATTTTGATTTAAGATGCATATTTAAAATTTTACTTATCCAAAATCTGGATAGATTTTATAATCAATGTCATCTTATAATTGATTGGATTCTCTCTTTCCTTCATCTTTCCCTCCTTCCCTCCTTTCTTCCCACCTTCCCTTCCTCCCTCTCTCCCTACATCTCTCCTTCCCTCCATCCCTTTTGTTTTCATGGCTCATAATATAATAAGGTGTTTTAACTAAAACTGATGAAATATGGTCTAGCCATATATTAAAGCAGTATTTCTCAATATGTATTTCTTACCACCACCCAACCCTGGCGAGGAGCGTCTTTGGCATTTTTTTCTCTAATTTTCCACTCCATGAAATTTTAAGACCACAGATATACTCTATATCTACTTATGTATTGCATGTGTGTATTTGTTTTATGAATAAAAGGACTAATAGTTTTTTCTCTAAGAACCAATTTCATCCCCTTGGGGCACTATTAAACCCATTGAGAGGGTAGGTATTAAAGTGATACTCCAGATCACTCTTAGTTTTTAAAAACTTATTTACTAGAATATTGGGAATCATAAACTAAATCTTAGGTTTAGAACTTTTGGCTTTAATCATATCACAGAATGTCTAGGAACTTTATCATTATTACCAATGACTGTCAAAATGCTGTCAAATGCGTGCAAAGTTTGAACATTTGATATTTACCCCCAAAGTCAGAAAGCTGTCCATAATATTTTTGTTAACAAATAAAAGATCTTCAAGTTCATCCAGTGATACCATTCAACATATCATTCTCATTTTATGAAATAAGACTATTTAATAATTTTAGTGTATATCTTTAGGAAGTTCACTACTTCACCTTTACACGTTCATGATTTTAAAGACATAATTTGAACACTACATCAATAAAGAGATTTTTAAAGACCACCTAATTTTCAAGGGGTACAAGAGACACCTGCTTTAGACTAGACTACTGCACTCTGTGGAGACGATGAGGATGTACAGTTCTTGAAGCCCCTGTTCTGTTGGCAGCTAGGCAGCTCGGGGATTCCCACCTCCAATAGTAATGATGAAAATCAGAACTTGGTCCCTCTGTGACCAGTGGTTTGAACCAGAGGGAAGATAGAGACACCATCTCTGGCCATCAAATCAGGATTTCTACTTGCAAAGCTAATTGTTGTATTTAATAACTTTAACTGATGGAGAAAGGAGTGATTTATTTACTTGAAGAATGTCTGGTATGTTCTTAAAAAGTCACTTACCTTTTCTCTGGGTCATGTAGCTTAACTCCCATTCTTTTATATTAGTGGTGCAAAAAACCTTAAAATGATGCATAAAACTTTTAACTTTGTTGGATGTATTGCACTACTATTTTATATCTGACAATTCAGACATTTGGCCTACTTGAATTGAGTTATGTTGAATGACTATTTTTTGAGGCTCAACTGTGTCAAAACAATGTGCACTTGGTTTGAGGGATGTGAAATATTCTAGCAGGCCAAGCAAAGTACCAGCAAAAACTAACACAGGTGGTATACTCAAAAGAGACTCTTCAACAGTACACAGACATCCATATCAAGGCTTTATCAGTTGAGTTAGTTGTACACAAGCTTTTGTAAATAAGTTGAAAGTGACTTCAAAACCAGAAATCATCTCCTCCACTGCTCCTAGTACTTGCCCTTTCTCTGCCTTTTAACCGAAGCATCTCCATGATACTCCGGGCATAGACATCTCTCAAGTTCACACTGATATATGAGTCAGTGGCTATATTCTTGGTAAGCTTCTTCAGAGCTTCGCGCTGTCTAACAGCTGCTTCCTTGAGCTTTAAGGTGAAATAGCAAGCAGAGAAGCGGTCGTTAATAATAGCAATAGGCAAGGCCAAGACAAGGATTCCTGATAATATGCACATGAAGGCCACAATTTTGCCTGTGGTGGTGTCTGGTCTAATGTCCCCGTATCCCACGGTAGTCATGGATGTTGTGGCCCACCACCATGCACAAGGGACACTTGTGAAGGTTGTGTCAGGAATACTCTGCTCTGCAAAATATTCCACAGTTGAAAATATAGAAATTCCCACAGACAGAAAGAGGAGCAGTAGGCCGACTTCTTCATAACACTGGGTGATTGTCATCCCGAGTGAGCGTAATCCTGTAAGAGAACAACTGCCGTCAGTCACTGGCACCTCTTCCCTCCCGCACTCCCCCACTTCCCTCCCTCCCCACTCCTTTCTGGCTATCCACCCACAAACGTGCATTTCACATCTAATATGCCTGCAGCACCGGGCAGTGGTTCTAGGGATACAGAGACAATAAACTAAATTATTTTTCTTCAGGGAACGCATAGTCTAGTTGGTGGGGCCAGATTGAAAAAGATAGAAAGAAATAATTACTAAACACTATTTATACAAAAAAAAAGTGACAGATGAGACTAAGAAGCAGGCAATGGATGTGTGATGGGAATTATATGTTAGTCATAAAATGAGAGGCCTTTGCTGCATGGCAACTGGAGGGCTCACTTGGCCAGACCTGCATTTCAATGCCTCGCTTTGGCACACTTATCTATTGCTGGTTTTATGCTGTCTCTTTACATTTGATGTGTCTGCTTTACTCACCCTCCTAATGAAGTTGAACATAATCAGGGTATTGTTATCTGAAAGCCAGAAACGGTAAAGGATGTCTACCATGAAGGTGAAGTGAGTGAGGCATCAGTGACCAAGCTGATGTGAGAACATTGTATGCATTCAGGGGGCACTCTTAACGGTCTACCAGGAGGTATTCCTGAACTCCCATGGCATGCACTGGAATGTGCACCCTTACTACCAAAGCCAGGGAAAACATTTCCCTTGAGTACATAGAATTTGTGCTTTCCTCTAAGGAGACAGACTTGAATACAGATTATTCCTTTTACTGTAAAATGGTATGGGGGACTGAAGCTACTAGAAAATTCATTCACTGTGAGGCATTGGTGCATTCCCTATTGCTACTCTGAAGAGATTGAACCCCTGGGAGACACACCCAAGAGAGTCCAATCCTGTCTCTAGAAAGGCTCAGCCCCTAGGGAGAGTCAGATGAGCCCATAAAGGGACTACGATTTGAATAAGGTATCTCCCCTGATATTAGAGTTCCTGAACACTGCTAAAAGTGCATCCACGTTTTGAAGCCGCATCAGTCTAAAACCACAACGATACTGTCTCTGAAGGTCAAAGTAATACCTCCTAGAATTATTTTAATTTTATTCACTAGAGACTAATTGAAATGCATTAAAATACCATTTGTGCTCTCATTATTTTTAAATATTTTTCTTAAAACTTTGAGATATTCTTAATTTATTTACCAGCTATTTTTAAAGATTAAGGAATATTAATTTTGATGTTTAACTTCAAAAGAAGATTTTTTTAAGAATATCTTTAGAATACCTTTTGGAAAATTGGCCTTGATGTGTCTGCATTGAATTATATTTCAGAAATAAACTGGAAGCATTTGAGAAAACCACAGTGAGGAGACTGTTTTCATTTCAAGATGAAATGTTCTAAATAATTTTGTAAAGAAACACAAAGTTGTCTGAATTTCTGCATGTTACATCTATTAACTCAGATAATCCTCAAAAACAATAGAAGACTGATGTAATTATTAGGCCATTTTACAGATGAGAAGATTGAGGCACAGAGAAGTAGCATAAATAATACAAAGCTACTGAGCCAGGATTTAAACTTAGGCTCTCTGGTCCTCCTAACTGTTATTCTATAATACCTCTCAACTTAAACTTATAATTTAATACATGGGGAAATGTGTCATTTATGTCTACATTTTGCTAAATGTAATGCTCAAGACAAAACTGTCAAATATTTATGTAAGCATTCATATCCTTTCAATAAGTTAAGTCTCTATTAATACCTTGTACTGCTTTGCAACTGAAAAAAACCTTTGAAGACATGACATTGTGGAAATTACTATTATTTTCTTTTTCTTTTCTTTTAGGAGCAAATGTAGTCTTTACTGGGTGTTTTTAAATTGAATCCTGTGAAGAGTTTATAAATACTAGAAGAAAGCATCCTATTATGTGTGTCAGAAAACAAAGAGTGGTACTTCTAAAAGTTGTTGGAAACCCCATTATCAAATCGCTCGTATGTGAGACTAGCTAGGAAAATACACTACCAAAATTATGTTAGGATAAGTCCTAATTACCTCAGAGATGTGGGGGGAAAACATATTTGAGGTTAACTTCTCCCTATATTAAGAGGGAGAAATGAACTTCCTTGAGGTGACCCACCAGGCACATATATCTGGGGGAGTAAGGTGGTAATAGCTAAATTGTTTATTTTCACGTGTACTATATTAATACATGTCATATTAACATGGCATCCTATGCTAGTGTTACTTAACGTATGGTCCATCAAAATCACTTGTGAGCTCCTCAATCCAACCCCGAATACTAAAATCTGACTCTTCATGTATCGGAGATCAGAATTTGCCTTTTAACAAGCTTTTCGAGGGATTCTTATTTTCATTAAAATCTAATATATCTATATATATACTCCAGAACATCCAATAGCCACAGAACCAGCCACTGAGAATGGTCACCCTCAGGAACACAAGGGTCATCTCTAATGGATTTGTGTGACTTCGCCTGACATTGTCTATTACTTTGATGCACAATTGTGTGCTGTGTGGGGAATTTTCTAGGGGGAATGTTCATAAGATTTTAAAGGCTTCATATGATACAAGCTAAGGAATTCCTGTTACCATCTCTTTTATGCATCCAGTTTAGGGACAAAGAAATTCTTAGATACTAGATAAAACATTTAATTAGTATCTTCTTCTTTCTTCCAAAGCAAATGTTTCCATTGCTTCGTCAAAAATTATGGGGTGACCACCGGTGCCTGGTCATCTCCCTTTCTGCATGGCCAGAGAAAGCCCTGCAAGACTGACTTTTTTGCCAAGGAATGTGTGTGGTAAGCCCTTCCTTGGATATGGAAGAGAAACTGGCTTATGTCCCTATGTGTCATGAATAATTTCTGCGTATCTTTTTTATGTGCTATTTATACATAGTTTATCTAGAACTTTCTTGAGGCAGAGTGTCTTCAATTTTTGTACATCTCCTGAGCACCTGGTTGAAATAAACTGAGGTTAACAAGCGGTCAAATTGTTTCTTATATGTCGTAGGGAGAGAAGAGTGTGAGCAGCATCTTCTTTATACTTGTGATAACAACTTCCCAACACCATTTTGGTTGGGTAACATATGGGAGTTGGTAATTTTGAGTGTCAATTCAGAGTCACTTCCCTTGGACTATAGTCACGCACTAATGTCTACAGACAATGGCAAATCAAAAAGCATCACTGAAATCTGAATACCTGTGGAATGTCTGCCCAGCTTTAGCATGCGTAGAGCCCTGAGCAGCCTCAAAACCTGCACAATGCGCCCCACATTTTCCAGCTCCTGTGTCGTCTGGCTCCCACTCAGGCTCTCTACCAGAAGAGTGATGTAGAAGGGCAGGATGGCAAGGAGGTCTATGATGTTTGGCACCTTTCGCAGGAAGCGGCACCTGTCCCGCACGCACAGGAAGCGCAGGACAAACTCGCCGGTGAACCAGCTAATACACACATACTCCAGGACTTCCAGCAGCTGCAGGTCCAGCCAGCTTAATTCAGCTGACATCAGGGCCATGTTGACGATAGACACCACCACAAAGATGATGGAGATGACCCCAAAGATTCGAGCAGCTGTGGAAGATCCAGGTTTCTCCAGGATGTTCCAGAGCTTCTGGCGGACAGTGGGGCAAGGTCCTTGTGAGAAGTCCTGTTCACTCTCGTGTTGACTCTCCTGGTCTTCGGTGTCCTTCTTAAAGTCTAATGTTTCACTCAGCTCCTTCCTTCTGAAGTATCTTTTAGAGAAAACAACTTGGTGATTAGTCTAACTTTTTAAACGTACAGAAGTAAAAAAGAAAAAAAAAGATTAAACTTAGCAGTGAAGTCATGCTTTTTTATTTCAGTAAAATGCAGAAAATGTCCATTCATATTTTACCCAGGCTGTCTCCTGCCCATAGTACCCCAAATTTCTCATTTAGGATTATGATTTTTAAAACGATACTTCCTTGGTGTAAGTTCATACAAAAGGATTTATACATGGTAAATCTAATGCATTTTATTACCCATTTTTCTTGTAACAAGAACATAGTTTGTCCTATGGAACTTTGTGTGTGTGTGTGTGATGGAAGGGTATTCATGAAGAAATGGCACTAATAGCAAGATAACAGGAAAGTCATCACCAAAGTCCCACAAACATTCACAGTTAAGGAACCAACTATCTTCTGTATTTAAAGCAGTTCTCCACCCAAGTTTAAAGTTAAGGGTTCTCAGTGGTAAACGATAATCCTACTGAAATCTACATCACGATGCATGCGACTTCTGGATCATAGCTTTTCTGACTCATTTATTCAACCATCAAGTATTTATTGCAGGCCTGACCTTCTTTGCCTTAAAAACGAATTGGCACGCACTCATCCAAAAAAGGAGGAGGTTCAAAAAGTTCCAATCGAAAGCTGGCTATGACACTTTCCGGACCCCACCGCCACCCCGCCTTTCAGAAAGCTCAGAAGCGGCCTCAGGTATTCTTAGGCCTGCGTTCCTCGAGAAGGAGAGCGACGCCTCACATCCGATCTCTGCCGCCCTCTGTGCATCGCGCCCGCCTCCCCGCCCGGCCTCCGCGCGCCTCCCGGGTACCTGTCCCTGCAGCAGGAGTCGATGCTGAGCTCGTCGATGCCCCAGTACTGGATCTCCTGAAGGAAGGAGAGCGCGCACAGCTGCTCCATGACGTGCAGGCGGCCCGTGCGGTAGTAGTGCAAGACGTAGCGGAATGCCTGCGAGCTGCGGTCGAAGAAGTACTCGTTGTCCACGGGGTTGGCATCGTCGCAGAGCTCCAGGGGACTGGGGACGGCGGCCAGGGCCCCGCGGCGGCGGCACGAGGCCACCACCACGGCCAGCTTGCCCAGGCGCGTGTGCGGGAAGCAGGACAGTGCCTGCTGCGAGAGCACGAAGCGGCTGCCGCCCACGTTGACCGTGAAGCAGTCCCCAAGCGCCAGGGGCTCCCCTTCGCCCTCGCTGCAGAAGACGCTGGACTCGAGCGAGGTCAGGGAGCAGCTGTCCAGCGGCGAGTCCGGCGGCGCCCGCCCTAGGCAAGGCAGCTCCATCCCCGCCGCCGCTGCCTGACGGCGCCACGAAGTTGGGGGCGCGCCGGAAGCCTCGGTCGGGCGAGGGTGGTGGCACGGCCCCTGGCGGCGGCCGGGATTTCCCTGGCTCCGGAGGGGGTGCCTCCCACCCGCGCGCCCCTGCGCCCGTTCCGCCTCCGGCCGCTAGGGCGCGCCCAGGCTGCGGGGAGAGGAAGGGGTCGCGCGCGGGCAAGGGCTCAGAAGCGGTCCCGGCCGGGGACAGCCCCAGGGCACCCCTTCCCGGACGTGCGCCCTCAGCCCCCAGCTAAATTTGTGAGAGAGGTTCCTAGCCCGGGGGGTGTACGTGTTGAACGTGGGGGGGGGGGGGGGAGCGGGCGGGCAGGGGCTGGTCTGGAGTGGAGGAGGAGAACAGGAAGACTTGGGGGAACGAGCGCAAGCAAGGCGGGTGGCCAGGCTCCCTCCAGCCCGGGAGACCGCGAGGAAAGTTCAGAAAGCCCAGGAAATGGTAACCGGGTCTGAGTCCTTTCCACCTTGAGGATATATATTCCTCCGTCTCCGTTTCGTGCGGCGGCTTCACAGGCCTCCCCGGGAGTGGTCGCTGGGGGGATGAGCGCGTGGGGGAGGGTGCGCCCGGCGAGGGGCCCGCATCATCTGCTCGCGGTCATTCTCATTCTAGTCTGATTGTCCCTCGCGCTCCATTTTCTTCTCCCTCCGTCTGGTTTTGACCTCCTGGTTAAGAAATAAGGATCGTTGATGATGACTTTTAACTGAGGTCCCAGTGAGTCGCTAAGAACTAGGGTCACCATCGCCCCACAATAGAGACACTCTGTGCCCTTGGCTTAGCCATTTCTGCCTGTAGAAGTTTCCCGGAGAGCAGGCGTTCTGGGCGCGCTCCCCGGCGCACAGCGGAGCTCTCATTTTAGAAGGGAAGACAGAAAGACAAGGAATAGAACTGGCGTGGGCTGCGGCAGGAGTTTAAATAGTAACGACGACTCGGTGAAGGGAGAAGCCGAGCGCCTGGCCCAGGTGAGACCAGGGGTGAACCCGCTGGGCCCCTTGGAGCGGAGCCCCAGCCCACCTGTGGGACACGGGGTGGGGGTGGGGAGGAGGACCGGGTGACTCACCTTCCGCTCCCGGCACATCTGCGCAGCGCTCGGAGCCCGCGGCTGGTGACGGAGCCTTCTGAGCTTCTCCCGGTGCACACGTGAGGTCTGCCTTGACGGGTCCAGGAGGAAACTGTGTTCGAGGCTGAGCTCTGCTCTGGCGCTTGCAGCCTAGCCTCGCCTCATCTCCCCCGCCTCCGGCTCTGGCCCCTCGGCCGCCCCCGCCGGCGCTAGCGAGCCACTCGCGGTTTCCAGCACCAGCTGTGGGGAAAGCAGGGAGCCGAGGGAGGTGAGACCGGAGGAGGAAGTGAAGCACTCCGTGACTCTGAATATCATATTCATCCTGAAGACACCTCAGAGATTGCCGTTTGGATTCCCGTCTCCCTGATCTGTGTGCTCACAAATGCTCCAGAACAAAATTTTCCATGCCTGCTAAACTCAGGGTTAGGGCACTTACAGAAACTGCTTTGCGTCTCATGGTTCAAGGTTTTCTCATGATTTCCAGCAAGCATCTGAGGATCCTGCATTTTTCAAAAGTCTTTGCAAGAGAGTGTGAACCACCTTTTTCTCCTTGTAATTAGTTTTAGAAAGTAAAGATAAAGAGATGAGCTGGCAGCTTCTTCAGTGGGGAGAACTTTTTCATAAATGGACTTGGGGGCACCTGGGTGGCTCAGTCAGTTAAACATCTGACTGATTTCAGCTCAGGTCATGATCTCGACGTTTCTGGGTTCGAGCCCCACCTCTAGCTCTGTGCTGGTGGCAGGGAGCCTACTTGGGATTCTGTCTCTCCTCTCTGCCCCTTACCTGCCTGTTCTCTCTCTCTCTCTCTCTCTCTCTCTTAAAATAAATAAATAAACTTAAAAAAAAAATAAATGGACTTGAAATGTGGTTGTTTGGTTCTGGCTTTACCAAATGGCCGAAGGGCATCCAGCTGTCATTTACTTCCTGGGCTTCAGTGCCTTCCTCAGAAAAATTTCACGTTTCGATAAAAACACTCAATATGTATTAGGGGCTTTATGTCAGGAAATTTTGTAGGCTCTTTACTCATTAAGTACCTTATTTAATCATAATAACAATACTATGAGGTAGCAGCACACTCATTTTACAGAAGAAGGAAACTGAGGCAAAACAGAAATTAAGTGATTTACTTAGGGTCACGCATCCAAACTCAAACCCAGGACTAGTTATCAGAGGCTGCCTTCATAAACACAATGCTTGGGGCATCTCCTTTCTGTGTGATTTTCAAACAAAAGTGTCATCATTTTTATTTACTTTGTTACTCATTTTTGCAAATTTCTAATGTTACGTGATGTATTTTTCCTGATATTTCAACAAATGTTCACTGAGCAGCCACTATGCACCGGGTGCTTCAGAGAGATCATGAAGAAAACAGATAAGATCCTTTTTCTTCTGGAATTAAAGTTTTTCCTGTGAGAATAAGCAGTAACTTTAGTGAAACTTAAAAAAAAATACAGTATTTATAGGTTATGGTGCTTTGACAGCTATTTATTTGGTTAACTTTTGTCTCTATAAGGAACTCTTCCATTCAGAAAATATGGAGGAGTTAAAATTGGTAAATACTTCATCAATATGTTTAAGTACTGTGTCAATTCATCTAAGGTAGCAGAACTTCTCTTACGTAGGAAGGAGAACTCCCTCAGCATCTCTATTACAGATTATTTGGGCATTGAAAAAATTCCACACTTCTCTTAAGCTTCATTCATACCTTAGTGTAAATAACTTTCATCAGATGATTAGCTTTAGGGCGTACCCTAGCTTTACAGACCATGGTGGGGAAGGAGGAAAGCTTTCAGAGGAGAAAGACAAATAACTGTAGATGACAAGGGAGGTCTTAGACAGGTAATGGAGGCTAACAAACTGTTACTGAGGCTTGCAGGTCTCCTGCACTGCCACCAGAACCTTGGACTTCAGTTGTAGTTAGTGGTATCCTGCAGAAGGAATTAGAACAATAGCCACCTTTTAAGTGTAAGGCCCAGGCTAAATATCTGAATTCTCAGCAATGGTCCCAGGAAGTAAGTACTGTCTTCCTTAGTTACACATCTCAGCTCAGAGATTCGCATGCGCCAAGGAGCTCTCCCAGTTATATAGTCAATATGTGTATAGAGGGACCAGAACTGGGGTCTTTCTTACGCCAGATTTCATCTCAAATGCCAAGATGAGATGCTAACATGTTCAACTGGGCTTAATTTGTGATGAATACAATTTCCCCTAAATAAAATAATCATAACTAGAGTTGATTAAGATGATTAGTTAACTGATAGCACACAAATACAAATAACCCATTTTAGAATACAGAGTTTTCTTGGATGATAAAAATTTCTGCCCTCTCCCCTCTTCTATTCCCTTTAATCTATTGTCTCTCCTCCTCCATTGGTCCCCAGGCTTGAGTCTGAGAGCCCAGAGGAAAGGCAATGATAAATGATTGCAGAAATAAGTCCATTCAAAGTATGTCCTTCCTTGTCTCTGACCTTGACCTGAGGTGTACCCTAAAATATGTCAAGAAGTGAAAGGAGAATTGCTGATAAGTACTTGGGGGTGGTGAGGTCTTGCTTTCAATTTCCTTCCTACAAAGCCTGGGAGGAATGTGACTGTCACGTAGGAGGCAGCTCAGTACTGAGATGTGAAAACTCAACATTGTAATGACTTTGGGTATATTTTCCCTAGTCATCAGATGTTATATTCAGGTGATTTTCCATTAACAGTCTTGTTAGGAAATGCTCTACTGGTGTTTGGCTCTATCTATCAAGTCTTCCAAATACTGATTTGAATATTAAATCTCAAGTACAGCTAACTGCTTTTAATTCTTCCAGTTTTTGTGAATATTTCTGAATTTATTAATGAGCAACATGCATTCTTTACAGTTCTGTTTTTTATTTTATTTTTAATGTTTATTTTTGAGAAGTAGAGTGAACATGAGTGGGGGAGGGGCAGAAAGAGAGAGAAAGAGAAAGAGAGAGAAACAGAATCTGAAGCAGGCTCTAGGCTCTGAGCTGTCAGCACAGTGCCCAACTCAGGGCTCAAACTCAGGAACATTAAGATCATGACCTAAGTTGAAGTCGGACACTCAACAGACTGAGCCACCCAGGCGCTCCAACAGTCATGTCTTTAAATTGGATTAAAAGAAAAAAAATAGAATTTAAATAAAAACTCGAAATATTAAAAAAAACAGCATACTTTAAATATCTGATTATTGACAAAAATAGGAGCCCCTGGCTGGCTTGTTTAGAAAAACATGTGACTCTTGGGACTGGGTTTATGAATTCAAGCCGCATGTTAGGGGTATAGATTACAAAAAAAAAAAAAAAACTTTCAAAAACAGAATTGATTATTGATAACAATTAAGAAAATAAAAGTTGAAAGTCCATAGCACATTAAGAATTCCTATTATTAAAACTCTGGAATGTTTCATTTAAGGTTTTGAAAAAATAATGAGAATGTATTTATATTAATATTATATTTGATTTCTGTAATCTACTTAAATAATGTATTAGGATGTTCTGTGAAATCATGAAGTCACATCTCTTATAAGAATGCATGAAAATGATTATACATATATGATCATAAGTCACTGAAAAATATTTTTAGAAAAATGGACATTCAGTATTAACTTATATCAAAAATACTACAGCTTTATATTTATTTTAAATAGTTAAATAGATAGGGGAGATATAGCAAGTAAATACTTTTGATAAAGAGTTTTATAGAATTCAACGTGAGTAAACTCCACCTTCATTTTCAACTGCTTTAGTGTAGACTCATACCTTTACACTAAAATCCCTTTAATTTTTATCATTCATTAACAGTGCAGACCATATTTCATGTGAGCTGTGCATACCTATCTTTGACTCAGTACTTAATTCTTCTAGGGACTGACAACCAGATAAGCTAATGGTAATGATGTTTAAAAATGCCTTTGTATATGGACAAAATGACATTGCCCTCTTCATTG